GCCCAAATGTCACTTGACTTCCACTGCAGCAGCCTCTTTGTACCTCCTGCAAAGCTGATTATTTCAAAAGCTCAGTAACTGTCCGGTTCGGAAGAGTCACTCTGCCTGTTCCTTTGCCATGACGGGCTGAGTGGAGTGAGCCGGAGCTTCTGGAAGGGGCATCCCGGCCAGGCTGTGTCCTCCTTTCTCTGACAGTACTCCTGCACAGCAGGCTCCAGGAGTGGTCTGTGCTGCATGTCCTCGCGTGCTAAGTACAGGGGAGTAGATATTCTGAGAAATAGGAAGCGTTCTGGAAGCCTTGAGAAAATGAGCCACTCCTTGCTCTACGGTTCTGCTGCCCTCAGTTACATCTCTGCGGGCATGCCATCCCTTGAGCTCTGGTCGTGGCTGATCTGTGGCCAAGTGATAAGATTCTTTGAAGTAGGGAGTGGCCACACCATCATCTCAGTTTTAAGAGCTCTTGTCCTCGGGTGGTAATGTCGTATCCCAGTAGGGACAGCTTGTGGATAAACTAGTGTGACTGCTGTGCGTCTTGGGGGCAATTTGCTTCCCCGGTGGAATCCAGCTGCTCCAGCCTGTCTCCTGCCCTTTGTATAAGCCCGAGAATGGGCACAGCAGAACCTCAGCACAGTGCCTGTGTGAACTGTTACCCTCAGGGAAAGAGGGAGCTGAAGCTTTGGGCCAGGAAGGTGCTTGGGGGGAGGGGGTGTTAACAGATAGATGTTCCCTTCTCTGGGACTGACAATTCTATCCTTAAAAACAAAGAGGGAAATTGGGGCTATGGGCTCAAGGGCAAAACGAAAACCCTGTCCTTTCTATGATCTCTTCAGGTGGGAAGTTGGGTTTCTGTTGCTTCAACAAGTGGGCTGGAAGACGCACCGCGATGTTCAAGGCCGTGGATGGCACCTGTCACAGCTGCTGAAGGGGCTCTGCTTGTGTTCTCCCTTCCCCCTCCCCTGCAGAGACAGTTCAGGGGAGGGCTTGTGAGACAAACCGTGCGTTGCGAAGGCTGGGGACGGTCTCCTGTGCTGCCGCAGTCACTGCTGGGGAGGGTGGAGTGTCTGGGTGCACTGCTCCCGCACAGCCCGCGTTCCCCCAGCCGCCACCGAGAAGGCAGGTCCTTTCGGGTCTGGACCCTTCCTGCAGCCTCCCTCCCTTACCACACGCACATTCTTCTCCTGCCAAAAGACAGCCAACTTCTTCGCGTCTGTTATCCGAGCATCATCTGAATCCCTTCCTGCTGCTCTGTGACTCGCCCGCTGCCTCTTCCGTCAAGGCGGTGTTACAGGTCCTCTGCTGGTGGGAGAGAGCAGACCAACACAATCTGAAGACCCAAGACTTGCAGAAGCCCTGCCGAGCAGGCTAGCGAGCCACACAATGCTGTGAGCTGAATGGATGGCTTAATAAGCTTGTAGACGCAATTTGGCCCGGCTTGGCTCCGGCAGAAGGAGGGAGGCCGAAGGGAAAGAGGCAGCGAGCGTTGTTCCGTAAATCACTGCAGACCCACTGGGAGTGACAGCCCTAGGAAGCTGATGATCTCGCCAGGAGAGGATTGACCACAGTTATCCAGACACAGAGCACGATGTAGAGCAGGGAGGACAGCCCCTCGGATGTGAGTACAGCCTCTGCACGCAGGGTTCGGGGCAGTCGGTGCAAAGCTAGTTGTAACTGGTGGCACTCCCCAGCCACCAGTGCCCGGGTGCATGTGGCCATCTCTGGGTGGGTTGTACGTAATGCCTGACTTTGCTTTGAAGGTCTCTCCTAGGATATTTTGCCTGTCAGGAGACTGATTATAGTGGCTTTGGGATATTAGCATAAGGCAATTTTGTTGTACATCCCTCAGAAAACAGCATAAGCAAACCTCAGAGACGTTTTACTGTATAAAGAAAACTGACTGCATCGCAGAACAAGCAGCTGTGTGACCCCCTGGCCTTGGTGATGCAAGACAAAAGAACTGGCAGAGCAGGAAGCAATGGAAATGGGGCAGTGGGCTGGGAGGAAGAGGGGAAAATCTCTGGTTTCTGGGTATTCATTGTATACTTGTGTGCATGACTTTATTCCCTTTCTGGTTAAAGTATGGGCAGCATGTTTGCAGTTCGGGTTTTTACTGCAAAATCCTGTGAAAAGTGAGCACTGTGACAAAGAGGGACATGATTGATAGGCTTGGGGCTGAAGAAATTGCTCACCACCAGCCATGGGAAGTGACTGGAGTGATAGCTGATTTGCTTGCAAGAGGAGGCTCAGATTTAGTGAGCTGTGGGGCTGCTGCAACTGGCACACCCAACAGGTTGGCCGTGAAGTTCACCTCATTAATCATACAGTGGTCATGACTCCTCTATTCCCCTCTGCTCCCCTTTCCCTGGCCGGGGAGGGGTGGTGCTCCATCCCTTGCCCTCTTCCCTCGCCTCCCTCCACCTGGCCCCGTTTGTCAGTTCAGAGGCATCAGCTGAGAGACAGGGCATCTTCTCACCCCAAGGGATGGGAATCACTGTCACAGGTGGGAGGTAGGGAATTAGGGGGTGCAGTGATCACGGGGACAGTAGAGAGGTGGTGTCAACTGGGCTTGCTCCCCACCCACATGGCGGCACAGGAGGACACCGAAGGGAAGCAGGAAAGGAGACTCAGCTACCTTGAGCCCTTCCCATCCACCCTGTGTGCATGTGCAGCTGCAGGTAACACCTGAAGGTCCTAGCAGTGAAGCTCTTCCTGGGCTTCGCTTGAGATGTCCAAGCACCTAGGGAGGGTGTTAGCAGCAGGTGAGGAATTGGAAATCTGTGGGACTCTGTTTCTGATTTTTTTTTTTTTTTTTGAGAGGTAGAGTTACAGACAGGAAGAGGGAGAGACAGAGAGAAAGGTCTTCTGTCCGCAGGTTCACTCTCCAAGTGGCCGCAACGGCTGGAGCTGCGCCCGTTCAAAGCCAGGAGCTTCTTCCTGGCCTCCCATGTGGATGCAGGGGCCCAAGGACTTGGGCCATCTTCTACTGCTTTCCCAGGCCATAGCAGAGAGCTGGATTGGAAGAGGAGTAGCCGGGACTAGAACCAGTGCTTAAGTGGGATGCCGATGCCGCAGGCCAAGGATTAACCTACTGCGCCACAGCGCCAGATCCTTTGTTTCTGATCTTGCAGGCAGTATTCTGTGCCACTCTGGTGGGGTGGCTGGGGGCAGGGGGAGTATCCAGTATCTTGGAGGGTGTTCTGTGGGTGTGTTGGTCGTGGTGGGGTGGGAGGCAGGGAATATCCTAAAGAAACCATAACTGAACAGCAACAAAGCACAGTGACATTTCTGATTAACAACCTTTTTTTCTTCACTATAGTGCTTTTCTATCATTGCAAAAAAGAAGAAATAGTAGCATAGTCTGGACTTGCAAAGGTCATTTACCAAGGGTAATGACTCCAACAAGGCTATCTCGGGATCCTGAAGTCCTTTGGGCTTTAGTCATGGTATCTGAGGCTGAATCTGTCGCACGGGACAGGAGGGTGGGAGGGGCATCATCAATTTACCATCAGCTGCTCATGTGCTGCGGCAGATCTCTGTGCTGCTGTGGATTGAAATGACTAGAATTTTAGCCAGGATATAATACTTATGTGAACTGGGGACATTGCACTTGACATTCAAATGGCCCATTGCAAGAAAAATTCTGGACTGGAATGGGGCAGGCTGAGTGTACAAGGATGACAAATGGGTAAATGAAGGAGATCATTTAGGAAGCTGGGGCTAATACTCTGTATTTTACTACCATCTGGTCCTGGAGTGATATTGCAGGATTTGGGAAAACAGCAGAAGTGCAGTATAAATGGCTTGAATGGACCACAGATTACTTGAACAAAGAAAGACAATGTAGCCTATGTTTATAAGAACTCACCATTGCCAAACTCAGTGACAGTCTGGGAAACTGCCGTCTCTCAGACTATGGGACTCCCCAAAGGCATTTCTAGCTCTGCTTGTCTTAGTGTTTTGAGTCAGAACTTTATTCTTTCATTGGTTCATTAAGAAATAAGATCTCTTCTAACTGTGACCAACCAAGATACTCCCACTGTGGTACATCCAGATCTGTTGCATTTCTTTTTTGTTTGTTTGTTCGAAGATTTATTTACTTATTTGAAAAGCAGAGTTACAGAGAAAGAGAGATTGATCTTTTATCCACAGGTTCTTCCTCCAATGGTCTCAACAGCTAGAGCTGGGCTGATCCAAAGCCAGGAGCCAGAAGCTTTCTCAGGGTCTCCCACATGGGTGCAGGGGCCCAAGGACTTGGGCCATTTCCCACTGCTTTCCCAGGCCATAGCAGAGAACTGGATCGGAAGTGGAGCAGCCAGGACTAGAACCGGTGCCCATATGGGATGCCGGCACTGCAAGTGGCAGCTTTCCCCGCTATGCCACAGTGCCAGCCCCCAACTCAGTCTCTAGAGATGGGAGGTATCACTGAGTGCACCTGCTAGCTGCTGGTAAAAGCGTCCATACCCTCCAAACTCGACAGTTAGGTGTGGGAGGCTCTGGATTGAAGGGTATCCCTTCGACAGGGCATTTTCTTTCCATTTGTTTATATTGGTGTTTTTACTATGTGTGCTTTTCAAATACAAAGAGATCTTCATTTCCTTGCCCTCCTAGAAGGAGTGCATTAGCGTGGCTTTGGTGTGGTCTCAGACTGACCCAGGGCCGCTGGGAGGAGCCAGTCCTTAAGCTTCTATGTGGTGTTTCAGGTGGTGTTTGGGGGATAATCTCGGGCTGCTGCTACCTGGGACAGAAATGCAGAGAGAACCTCACTGCTGTGGCTGTGCCCCTCTGGAGCACGGCGCTGAGGAGGGTGCAGGGCAGGCTGGTGTGTTCCTCCCCATAACAGTGATGTTCCAGGCTTTGCTTTCTGCACTCTCTGTCCTGCGCCTCCCAGCTCCCCTCCCCTGCAGCGTGTGCCAGCAGAACGCCCTAGAATCGGGGTGATGGGGTATGTCCTGGCCTTGTATGTTGATTGGCACTGATGACAGCTTTTGTTTTGTAACTCCTAGGTTCTGAAGATGGCTTAGCAATAAAGGCACCATCCAAGGATTGTGAACACCCTCACCCGTGGGTGCAAGCCCGGGCCAGTGGCTTCGTGCTGAGCTGGAGGAACACCACATCTACCACCTTCCCGACAACCTCTCCCTCTCCTAATTCATGAGCCAGCAGGATGCGGTCGCTGTGCTGTCAGAACGCCTTCTCATAGCTGCATACAAAGGCCAAGCGGAGAATGTGGTTCAGCTCATCAACAAGGGGGCCAAGGTAGCGGTTACCAAGGTAACATGGAACAAACGCTGTAGCCCTTCCCTGGGAACTAGCCTACCTCTTAACCATTGTCCACAAAACTGTCCAGTTCGGTGCACAGCTTTCAAAGAACTGGCTCCGCCCACCCCCAGTCATGGAGGGTTGGAGAGAAAGGAGGAGGATTAAGAGTGTGTTCATTGCCTTCTTTCCAATGGAGCAGCGTGTAATTAGCATTCAACAGTCTTTAGGAAGGCAGTGTGGCTCTTTCTCACCTACTCCTTTCCTAAGCGGACAAGAAGTTAGGGCACAAAAGCTTACTGTGCAGTGTCTGTGTGGTTGTCGTGTTAGGCAGCCTCCCAGGGAAGTGGGCCAGCTGAGGTCAGGGAAGCCCCTCAGCTCTGTCTTAGTGGCCCTGGGTGTACAGTGGCACCTGGACCTGTGACCCCTGTGACCTCTCTGGGCTTTGATTCCCTTGGGGGGGGGGGGGCGGGCAGTGGCATCTGTTGCTTACTCTCACTAACAGATAACCCCAGGCTAGATGAGAGACCAAATTGGCCAGAGGCAATCCTGCAGCAAAGCCAGGAAAAGGCAGGCCCTGCACACTTAGATGACAAGTTGCAGTATACTGATGAATTGACAATGGTGGCAGACACTTAACTAGCTCTTAGTAGTGCTCTACGCACTTCACAGCCTTCTAGAAGAGGAAATGGAGGCCCAAACAGAACTTGCCAGAAATGCAACTTGTACCCGGGGAGTCTGGCTCCTAGGCCCACCTTCCACACCATGCAGTCCAGCTCCCCCACATGGGCGGCAGGAACCCAGGTCCTTGAGACATCAGCCGCTGCCTCTCTGCATCAGCAGAAAGCTGGAGTCAGGAGCTGGAGCAGGAATTAAAGCCAGGTTCTCTGATGGAGGGCGCAGGCATCCTGACTGATGCTGGGCCAAAGCCGACCACCATCCCTTCCTATGACTGAACAGTAATTCATTGTATGCGTATGTAGTAGTCCCTCTTATTCCTGGGGGCTGTGTTCTGAGCTCCCGGGTGCTTGTCTGAACCTAGATGGTACTAAACCCCTTTGTATCTATATTTTTCCATATGCGTATATATCCATGATAAAGTTTAATTTGTTAGCCCCAGTAGGAAATTAAAAATGACTAATAGAACAGTTGTAACAGTTTACTGTAACATAGTCACCAGCCTCATGATTCTTGGGCTTCAGGGCCAAGCACGTGATACCATGGCTGTTGATCTGGTAACCGAGGTGGCTGCTAACAGAGTACAGACTAGCAGTGCAAAGTGTTTGAATGCACTGGTCAAAGGGATGATTCACATCCCGGACAGCGTGAGGTTGGCAGGCGATTTCAAGCTTATAACTTGTTTGTTTCTAGAAGTTTCTATGTAATAGTTTTGAATGCAGTTGACTATAGATAACAAACTGTGGAAAGCAAAACTGCTGATGAGGTAACTACTGTTCCAAATTCTGTCCATCCCTTTAGCAGTGGGTGGATGTTTTGGGTTGTTTCCACTTTAACCACACCACTATGAACACACACACACACACATTTGTACACACACTTTCCTTTCTCTATACCTAGGAGTAAAATTATGGTTCCATCTGTTAAATCTGTCTCTTTATTAATTTATTTACATGAAACTCAGAGTTACACAGACAGAGAAGGCAGAGAGAGAGAGGTCTTCCATCTGCTGGTTCACTCCCCAATTGGCTGCAATGGCCAGAGCAGCGCTGATCTGAAGCCAGGAGCCAGGAGCTTCCTCCAGCTCCCATGTAGGTGCAGGGGCCCAAGGAGTTGGGCCATCTTCCACTGCTTTCCCAGGCCATAGCAGAGAGCTGGATCAGAAGTGGAGCAGCCAGGACTCAAACTAGGGCCCATATGGGATGCCGGCACTGCAGGCAGCAGCTTTACCCACTACACCACAGCATCGGGTCTTGTATGTTTCTTTTTAATAAGGTGTATTTATTTGTTTGAAAGGAAAAGTGACAGTTGTTTTTTTTTCCATCTGCTGGTTCCCTCTCCAAATGGCCAAAACAGCCAGGTCTGGGCCAGACCGCTGCCAGGAGCCAGGAACTCTGTCCTGGCCTTCCTCAAGGGTGGTAGGGGCCCAAACACTTGCCATCTTCTGCTGCCTTCCCAGGCAGGAGGTCGGATTGAAAGCAGAAGAGCCAGGACTTGAACTGGCACTCTGATAGGGGATGCTGACATTAAGTGGCAGCTTAACACACTGCACTACAACAGGGGCCCTTGAGTCTGTGTTTACCATTTTAAAACACTGCCAAGCTGTTTCCAGAGTGGTTGTACCATCTTACATTACCACCAGCAATGGATGAGGGTTCCAGTTTTTCTATAACCCCACTGATTTGGGTTGTTAGACTCTGTTTTTTTATACTTTTCTTTTTTTTAAGATTTATTTATTTATTTGAAAGGCAGAACTACAGAAAGGCAGAGAGAATAAGATCTTCCATCTGCTGGTTCGCTCCCCAAATTGCTGCAGTGGCTGGAGTGGCGCCAATCCAAAGCCAGGAGCCAGGAGCTTCTTCCAGGTCTCCCATGTGGGTGCAGGGGTCCAAGGACTTGGGCCATCTTCTACTGCTATCCCAGGCCATAGCAGAGAGTTATATTAGAAAAGGAGCAGCCAAGACTAGAACCAGCGCCCATGTGGGATGCCGGCACTGCAGGCAGAGGATTAACCTGCGCCACAGTGCCGGCCCCACACTTCTCTTTTTAAAAGCTGGCGATCTTTTATAAATATGTCAGAATTTTAGCAGTGTTAGTTCAAGGCTGGCAGTGTGGTACAGCAGGTTAAGCTGCCGCCTGTGATGCTGGCATCCCATATGGGTTTGTCTTCGATTCCTGGCTGCTCCACTTCCGAACCAACTCTGCTAAAGTGCCTGGGAAAGCAGAAGTGGATGGTCTAAGGGCTTGGGGACCTACCACCCACATGGGAGACCCGGATGGAGTCCCAGCCTCCTGGCTTTGAGCTGGCCCTGGCCATTGTGGCCGTTTGGGGAGTGAACCAATGGACAGAAGGTCTCTATGTCTCTATCCCCCCCCCCGACTCAGCCTTTCAAATAAATAAAAAAATATTTTTAAAAATAGAAGTATTAGCTCAGATACTGCTGGGTCTTTTAACAAGAACGGCTGTCTCCTGAACCGTCCGCCTTTGCTGCTCTGAAGAAACCCCTTTCTAATCTCCAGTACTGACCTCCATATTTCCAGTGAATACGGATGTATGCTACTAGCTGATCCAGCTGTTTGACTCCTCTGTCTTTCTATGGCTTTATAGTTCATGTCAGATTTAGGTCTTCATTCTATTCCATTTTGTGGATGATGTAAGGTAACGGTTCATTTTCATGCTTTGGCATGTGGGTAGCCAATTCCCCAACCCTGCTTGTGGAGGAAGCTGAGCTTTGTGTGATCTTGGCCTCCTTGTCAAAGGTGGCTTGACTGCACACCAGGAGTCTGTAGACTTTCTGTTCTGTTTCATTGGGCTGCGTGTCTGTGTGCCACTTGCATATGTTTTTAATTAAATTTATTTGAAAGGCAGAGTTAAAGAGAGGCAGAGGCAGAGAGAGAGAGTCTTCCATCTGCTGGTTCACTCCCCAATTGGCTGCAATGGCCAGAGCTGCACCGATCCAAAGGCAGGAGCCAGGAGCTGCTTCTGGGTCTCCCACATGGGCACAGGGGCCCAAGGGTCTCAAGGGTCTGGGCCATCTTCTACTGCTTCCCCAGGCCATAGCAGAGAGCTGGATTGGAAGTGGAGCAGCCGAGACTCAAACCAGCGCCCAGTGGGATGCCAGCACTATTGGTAGCAGCTTCACCCTCCATGCCACAGTGCCGGCCCCTTGCAAGTTGGAATTCTGGGTCACATGGTAGATGTATTTTTAGTCTTTTGAGGAACTTCCATACTGTTCTCCATAATGGCTGTGCTAATTTGCATTCCCATCATCAGTATGTTAGGGTTCCATTTCTCCACATTTTCACCAGCATGTCTTATGTTTTTCTTTTTCATGATAACCATTCTAACTGGAGGGAGATGATATCTCATTGTAGTTTGGATTTGCATGTCCCTGATGGCTAGTGATCTTGAGCATTTTTTCATTTATTTCTTGGCCATTTGTCATCTTTAGAGAAATATCCATTCAGATCCTTTGCCCATTTTTAAGTGAATTGTCTGGGGTTTTGGGTTGAGTTTTGGGAGTTTGTTTTACATTCTAGGCATTAATCCTTCATCAGGTGAATAGCATGCAAATATTTTCTCCTGCTCTGTCAGTTGTCTCTTTACTTTGTTGATCATTGCCTTAGCTGTGCAAAAGCTTCTTGCTTGGATGTAATCCTATTTGTTTAGTTTTCCTTGATTGCATATACATTTAGGGTTGTATCCAAAAAATTGTAGAATATACTGATGTTTGTGTTTCCCTATGTTTTACGTTTAGGTCTTTGATCCATTTTGCATGGATTTTTGTGTAAGCTGAGAGTAGGGAGAGAGGGTCATGTTTCAGTCTTTTGCATGTAGATATCCAGTTTTTGGAGAACCACTTACTGAAGAGTCTATCCTTTCCCCATTACGTGTTTTTGGTGGTGGTGTCAACAATTGGTTGGCTGTAGACATGCAGATTCATTTCTGGGTTCTTTATTCTGTTGTGTTTGTCTATGTGTCTCTTTTTACACCAGAACCATGTAGTTTTGGTTATAATAGCTCTGTAGTCTCTCTTTGTCTCTATGTCTCTCCCTCTTTCTATAACTCTAAAATAAATAAATCTTTTTTTAAAAAGGAAGGGGACGGTGGCACTGTGGCATAGTAGACCCAAATGCTTGGACTTCTGCACCCACACGGGAGACCCAGAAGAAACTCCTGGATCCTGGCTTTGGATAGGCCCAGCTCCAGCCATTGTGGCCATTTGGGAAGTGAACTAGTAGATGAAAGATCCCCTCCTCCACCTTCTCTCTCCCTCTCCCTCTCCCTCTCCCTCTCCCTCTCCCTCTCCCTCTCCCTCTCCCTCTCCCTCTCCCTC